GCCCCGCGCTCCCCGCCGCCGCCGCCTGAGCCGCGTCCCCCGGAGGGCGCCCCTGCTCCGCGCGCGCCCTGGACGCACGTTGGTTTCTCGGCCAGGCGCCGGCCTCTCCTGCAGACCCGGCTCTGGGGTCCCGACCCACTCAGCCACTCGCCCGCTCCCCCCAAAGACAGGCGAGGCTTTTTTCTGGGGTCACAGTCCTGCTCCCGAGGTCCCCACACACACTCAGCATCTCCCCAGCTCCTAGGCGTTTTTTGAGACATGAATTTCCAGGGACCCGCACACAGAGGAGTCCCCCTCCGCTTCCCCAAATGTACACGCGTGGCCTGGGCGCTCCAGCCTCGCTGTCCCTCGGCGCTTCACGGAGCCTCGCGCCCCCTCGGGGTCCTGCAGACCCGTGGGCCACCCACCCGTGCTCCCCGCGGTGTCCGCGTCCACCCGCCTTGCCCTGCGGCCACGCGGCCAGCTGGCCCGGCTCCCCAGGGTGGACAGGGTTCGTCTGGCCCTTAGGTCTGTGTCCCCAAACAAGTGGCATTTTTTTTTTCTTGTGTCCCCAACATGTTGGAGGCTAACGACAAGGTCTCTCCAGCTTCCTGTCCCTGCTGACACCCCCGCACGGGTTCCCCACAGCCTGGGGTGATACCTGCGGGGGTCCCCCAAAATTACTGGCACCAACCCCGGGCTCCCTAAATTTTACACTGAGAGCCCCAGGTCCCCCAACGCAGGAAGCAAATTACCCCCAAACCCCAGAAGGCTGCTCGGCCGCCTGCACAGGATTTAGGAGGCTCCCCAGAGCCCCCAGCCCTTTTCTGAGTCCTGACGGTCCGGCTCCATGGCCTCTGTCCCCCCAACCCCCTGAGCATTTTCCCGTGGGCCGTGGAGATGGGGGCACGCGTTTTCTCCGAGCTTCCCGGCCCGCTCGGTTCCTGCCCATGAGACCCTTCACCCAGGTCCAAAGCACCCGGAGCAGTCACCCCTGCCTGTGACCCCCGGCTATGCAGGTTCCCCAGAATCTCACGGGGTCCCCCAGGCGCCTGGGCCACAGCACCCAGCGCAATACAAGGCTGTGCCTGGGACGCCCGGTCCTGTGAGTGCCGGCCACCAAACAGCCTGGACATTTTCTCCGCGTGGTAACGTTTTGCGTCTTTTAAAATCCCCCGGCCCCTTGCTCACGGACAGGAACCCGGGTTTTCTAAAATGCAGACGCTGATCGGAAATTCTGGCCCTCACAGCGTCTCCTGGCCCCCGCGGGTCCGGGTTTGCTTCCTTCTCTCAAATATTAGGCATTGCCCTCCAGATCATCTCCCCCACCCCCGCCAGGGTTACAAGGGGGTCACAAAGGCACTGGTTTCTTGGGCTCCAATGCATCCAGGACCCCATGGGGGGCAGCCCGAATTTAATCAACATTTCCTGCCCCCTCCCCACCCAGCTCACTCCCAGGGATTTCGGACACCGGTTCTCCAGGTCCCAGGGTTTAGGAACTCTTCAGCCTTTCCCCCCAAAGTTAGATGCCAGCCTCCAGTTCTCCTGAGGACCTGGCCACTTCCCTGGAGCCTCGATTCCAAAATGGCTTTGGGGGGCTCTGAGCTGAGGCGCTACCCCCAGCCCTCCAAAGCCAAGTGCGATTTTTATTTCCCCCCACAAAACTACTGAGCTTTCCGAACATTGAATTATGGGTCCCCTGGCTTCACGACCCTTTCCCTGAGCCCCCCCCTAAGTTTAGGCAATTTTTCCCCACGGGTCCCCCAAAATGAAAGTGCCCGGGGATGAAGAACACCCGCAGGCCCCAGAAAGCGCAGGCAGCGGGGGGCCTGTACCTGGAGCTTAGCTGCCAGTCGCCACCGGGCAGTTTCCAGTGACCCCCATATTCGGGCCATGCCTCAACAAGGACCCCCGAACACAGTGCGCGGGGGGGAAAAAAGGACATTTTCTCTTGTTCGCCCAAAACAGACCTCCAGCAAATGAAACGATTTAAAAACAAAATAGACGCGCTCGATTTTCTGCACTCCCCCAAAGCACTGCTCACACCCCGGGTTCCCCCAACTTTAGACCGCGGCGCTGGAGTCCCTGCAGGGCTCTGAGAACGCGCCGGAGCCACCACGCGTGGAAGCGGCTTCCCCAGCCCCGGCCGCCCGGCCCGCGGCCCGAATCGCGGGAACGAACCTCCGCTTCCCTCCGCGCCGGGTTTGCCGAGATCCCCCCAGTGTGGTCCCTGTTCTCTTCTTTCAGTTTTAGACCCTGCGCCTCTGGGGCCCCCCGAATTCCATGGAGAGAATTTTTCTGGAATCATCGAGAAATCTACCTCCCCACCCATCCTGCGGGTGCCCCCAAGCCCGCCGACCAGGCACTGGGCGCCCCACGCGCGGCGCCTCCCCCAGTGCACGGAGCCGTTTCCAGGGGTCCCCACACTTGGCCGCGATTTTTCTGGAGCCTCTGATGTAGTCGCTCCTCGAAGCTCCCACGGCGGGAAGCCTCCGCGCCCCGGCTCCGGGACACACACTCGTTCCGCCTGCAAGTCAGACCGAGCCCGGTCCCCGTCCCCCATGTGGGCACGGCTCCCGGCCCCGCGCGCCACGGCGGGTCTCGGCGGCTCGGCGTTGCCAGCGAAGCCCTACGTTTAAGAATGTCTGTTCCCCTAAAGCCCTGGGCCTGGCAGCGTGTCCGCCGGGACGTGGGCACAACTCCCGCGTCCAGGAAAACGACTGGGCAGAGCCCCCAGTTCCCCCCAAATTTGGGCATGATCCCCGGGTCTTCCAACGGGCTGGGCGTCGCCCCGGGACCTCGGGGACTAGCGCGGGGTCCCGCTCACCTTCTGCACGTCCGCCGCCGGCGCAGAGCCCTCGCTCCTGCCTCGCTCCCGGCGCGCCCGCCCGCGGACCGACCGCCTTCCAGCCTCGCGGTGAGCTCCTGCCGCTTCCGCGCTCCGGCGGGGCTTCCGCCCGCACCCGCCGCCCCGGTTCCCGGTCCCGCTCCCGCCCGGGCTGGCCGGCGCTCGCCTCGGCGGCCGCTGGGGAAACCGGCGCGGTGCGCGGGAGCCTGCGGCGGGCGGGCCTCCTGGCGGCCGCACTGCCTGGGGCCAGCGCCCCGACCCTGGCGCCTTTGCAGAGATCGTGGTGGGGGCGCGGGCAGGGCGCTGGGTCGGAGTGACGCCGAGAGAGGCGCCTCCAGCCCCGGCCCGGGGCCCGGGGCAGCGCGCGCGGCGCGGGCGGGCGAGGTGATTGATGGCGGCGTCCGGCGACCCCGCGCGGTCTCCCGCCGGCAGCCCCGTCCCCAGCGGAGGCGCGGGCGGCAGGGGCTGCCGGCGCAGGCGGCGCGCGGGGGCCTGTGCGTGGGTTTGACTTGGGAAAAGACACGAGTCTTTACGTCTGCAAACTCTCGGATGGTGCCCGGGGCGAGGTGGCCCCGGGGCTGAACCCGGGTCTACGTGAGTCCCGCGGCCTGAGGCCGGGGAAACCATGACCGGGACATTTCGGGGGGCCCTGGGGCGGGCCGCTTAGGGCGCCCCGTGAGCTCGGCCACGCAGGTAGGACTTGAACAGTGTTTCCCGCCTCGGCCCTCTCGCCCGGGCCCTGCGCCCGCCCCACGTTCAGGCCTGGCCGGGCGCGCTTTCCGCACCGACCGCACCTGGCGGCGGCCTCGGCCAAGACCAGGCCCGCGCGGCACCGGGGGGCGCTCGGGGTCTGGCGGCGGCTGGAGGCGCCGCGCCTGCACGGGCAGGTGGCGGCTGCGCGCTCTGCGCGCGCCCAGCGCCGACCCCTCCTCCCCCTACGCCGCTCCCAGCGGGACTCGGGGACCCCGGGCCACACGGAGCCACACGGAGCCACCTGCGCCCTCACTCACGCCGACGGGGCGCCCCTCGTCGGGCAGCGGGGACCCTACCACTGCGGGGGCCCGGAACACCGCCCACCCCGCTCCCTCTGTGACCCCCGCGCACCAGCGCAGGAAACCCGGGACCCCGGGACCCGAGACGGGGGCCCCTTCACACGGTAGAATTGTGATTTCGTGCACACTTAGCCGCTCCCTGCCCCCAACCCCAGCTCGTCCCGCACACCCCACGTTCCCCCGCCCCCACCCTCCAGGCTCCCGCGCCCCGGAGCCCGCGCCCCCCTCCCCTGGCTCGAGTTGCGGAGGCGGTCCGGGGGCGGGGCGAGGGCCGGCCGGGCGCCCATTGGCGCGGGCTCAAGGCCAGCGGGGCCCGAGCGGGCGCTGCACCGCGGGGTGGCGCGGCTATAAGAGCCGGGCGTTGGCGCCCGGAGTTCGCCTGCTCTCCGGCGGAGCTGCGTGAGGCCCAGCGGGCCCCCGGCCCCCCCTTCCGGCCGCCCCCGCCTCTTGGCCCACGCCCGCCCTGCTCCATCGGGCTGACGGCCCCGCCTCGACGTCCGTGCGCTGCTGATCCCATCGCGGGCGCCGTCGGCGGGGGCGCGCTCCGCCGGGCCTGCGGATCCCTCGCCGCCTCCTCGTCTATCTACCTCAACGCCCGTCCCGCTTCGCCCGAGGAGGCGGTCCCCCCCGCAGGCAGTCCGGCTCGCAGGCCGCCGGCGTTGTCATCTCCCCGCGCTCCCCCTCCCAGCCCTCCCCGGTGCGCCGCCTGGCCGCTCCCACTCCTCGCGGCGTCCCGAGCGGCTCCAGCGCGGCCACCACCGCCCCCCCGAGGCCCGGGCTCGCGACGGCCGAGGGCTCCGTCGGCCCAAACCGAGCTGGGCGCCCGCGGCTCGGGTGACGCCTCCACTCCGCCCCCCCTCGCACCGCCCCCGGCCCCCGACGTGGCGACCTTCCCTTGCTTCTCTGTGCTCCCCTCTCCACCTCTCTCGCCTCTGGCCCCGGCCCCGCGCACTCGTTTCTCCCGCAGCCTTCCCTCGGCTCCCTCCCGTCCCCCCCGGACCCGCGCCTCCACGCCCGCCCCCCCTCCCCGCCCGCCCCCGGACCCTGGACAGACTTTCTGTTTCTCTTGACTGTTCTCCCCCGCTGTGCGCCTGCCCGCCTCTCGCTGTCCCCTCTCCCTCTCGCCCGCCCTTCGGCCCCCCCCCTTTCACGTTCACTCTGTCTCTCTCTCTATCTCTGCCCCCCTCTGTCCTGGATACAACAGCTGACCTCATTTCCCGATACCCTTCCCCCCCTAAAGTACAACATCTGGCCCGCCCCAGCCCACAGAAGGCCCGTCCTCCCCAAACGATCAGCGGATACTCCCCCCCCCAAAAAAAGCCATCCCCCCGTTCTGACCCGTCGCACATTCGGCCCCGGCGACTCGGCCAGAGCGGCGCTGGCAGAGGAGTGTCCGGCAGGAGGGCCTTCGCCCGCTGCCCGGTTCGCATATCACGCAGCAGGGAGGTGTGCGGCAGCTGTGCCGGCTTCAAGGTAAGCGCCGTGCGGGCCGCGGGGCTGGCGGGCCGCGGGGCCGGGGGCGCGGGGGGGGGGGCGCCCGGGCGGGTGCGGGGCGCGGGCGGCGGGGCCCCTTCCCCAAGGCGAACCCCGCGCTCTTCCCTGCGCCGCGGAGGGGGCGGGGTAGGGGCCGCGGAAAATGCCCGGAGAGGTGAGAGCGTCTGCAAAAGCGACTTCCTGGTGGTTTTGGGGGTGCGGGGGGTGTTGGTGAAAGTTTGGGGTTTGCGCCGTGCGGGGGGAGGGCCGTCCCCCCAGGGTGCTGGGCAAAGAGGGGGGGCGCGGGTCTCAGAAACCCACCCTGGTATGCGCACTCGGGCCAGCAAAAGAGAGAGAGAGAGAGAGAGAGAGAGAGAGAGAGAGAGAGAGAGAGAGAGAGAGAAACGGGTGGGCGGGGCCAGGAGGGAGCGAGGGGGGCTGAGTTGGCAAAAGCGTCCTGCCAGGCGCCACACTTGCAGGATCCCCCCGCCCCCCTCCCCCTCCCTGCCCCCAACATTTCTAAGTAGGAATCTGGGGAGAGGGGCTGCTCGGGGGCTCCCAGGGGAGTGTCCAGCCCCCGCGCCGCGCGCAGATGGAAGTTTCCATACAAGGAGGGGAAGCTGCCCCCCTCCCGCCCCCACTGCCCGGTGCGGACTTGGGCTGGGGGTTCAGAAGGCGCTCCCCCCCTTCCACATGGTCCTCTGCTCATGGATGGAGCTGGCGGGGAGGGGAGGGGAGGAGGGCGGGGGGCGTGCGGAGGAGAGAGGGGACTGGCTGGAAGCCGCGAGGGGGCGGGGGCAAAGGGGCGGGGGGAGTGGTCAGCGGGGCCGGGGGGTGGGGGCCGGGGTGGAGCCGGGGCTGGGAGGAGTCGGCTCGCACATAAAAAGCCGAGGCACTGACCAGGCGGCGAGCTGGACATTGGCTTCTCCTGAGAAGCAGCCTTCAGCTTCCTCCTCCTCCTCCTCTTGCTCCAGCCCAGGACTCCTGCCCAGCTGCAGGTAACCAGCTGTGGAGCGGGGGGCTCCGCTCCAGCCCGCCTGCCTGCACCCCGGCTCCGGCTCAGCCTCGGCTTCTGCCCGCTGCCTCCAGCGAGGGCACCCCCTCTCCTCCCGCGCTGCCCTCCGCGGGCATGCCCTCTGCTGGGCTCCGGCCGGACCCCACACCGCAGGGGCCGGGCTTGCGGAGGGATGGAGCGGCGGGGCAGCTGGGAGGCATGAGGTCCAGGCTAGGGCAGCACCAGGGGATGGAGGTGGCCGTGCAGGTCCCTCCGTGGAGCTGCGGCTCTTCGGGGAGCTTAGGCAACGCGGCTGCCTTCCCGCCCCGGCTCCTGGGCTACTGCCTCGAGGCTCCATCGGGGCTGGGGGCCACGCTGCTCGCTGCCCTGTGCCCACGGGCTGTGGAGCCTGGGAGGGGCACAGCTCCGGCAGCCTGCCCCGCCCTTGCCCGGGGAGCCTCGGGGTGCCAGTGGACTCAGAGCCACTGGCTGCCCCCGAAAGGGCTCGTACCTGGGGGTGCAGGGACAGGCTGGGGCCGCCCGCCTGAGGGGCTCCCACCTTCGGACCCGGCTGCCGAGAAGCCGAGGGCCCCTCCCAAGCCGCCCACTCCTTAGGGGCGCTCAGCCTGTGCAGGGGGGTGTGTCCTAGGACCGCCACTCCTTCCACCCTGGACCCTGAGGAACTTGGTCTGGCCTCCAGGCGGCTTCGCCTGCTCTCTCTTGCTCCCCTGGAGGGGGGGGGGGTCCCGAAGGCACCCTGAGGCTTTGACTTTTCTGTGGCTGTTGGGTGCCCAGCGCAGGCTGGAGTTAGGGGACTGGGTGAGTCAGGAGAACGGCGCCCCCCAGAGTCATGCTGGTCATCGGACCCTTGGCCTGAGCTCTGCTCAGCGACAGCCCTGGAGGGGGCCGGCCGCGGACCCCGAGACTTGGTCCTCTGGGATGCTTGGCCGCCGCGCCGTGGGGTGGGGCCGTCTGCCATCTTGGCTGGCGCTGGGAGACCCAGGAGTGGCCGCTGCCTGGTGCTGGCCCCGCCCTCATGACATCATAGGATGGAGGCCAGGTCCCGCGTCCAGCACTGGCCCCTGCGGCTCTGGGCATGGCCGAGCCCCTGCAGCAGTGACAATGGGGACCACCTCCCCACGGGAAACCACTGACCAGCACCTGCTGCCAATCAAAGGCGCCTCCCAGACGGGGCCCATCTCCGTCTCCCTTAGCGCAGCCGGCTTGGGAGAGAGCCCTGCTGCCAAGTGGCCGCTGAACTTTCTGAGTGAGGCCGGCCTGGCTGGCGGCTCAGACCCCTCTCTCCCGCAGATACCATGGCGCTTCCAGTGGGGAAGTCGATGCTGGTGCTGCTTACCTTCTTGGCCTTCGCCTCGTGCTGCTATGCTGCTTACCGCCCCAGTGAGACCTTGTGCGGCGGGGAGCTGGTGGACACCCTCCAGTTCGTCTGTGGGGACCGCGGCTTCTACTTCAGTAAGTGGCTCCGGGGCAGTGGGCGGGGGCGGGGCGCACACAGCAGGTGCTAACAAGTGCTGGGTCCTCTGAGGGGGTGGCGGGAAGGGGGGGCGGGGGGGGGGGCAGGGGGAGGACTAGCCACGGAGGGTGGGCTGGGCTTTGGAGAGTGCATTCATCAGGCACCTTCAGTGTGCGGGGCGGGCGGCACTCATCCCCGGGGATTCTCCTGCAATAAAGACTCAAAATGGAGGGTCGCTGGTCTCCCTGGGGAGGAGGGGCGGGGAGCTGGTGAGCAGGGAGGGGGGCGTGGCTTGGTGCCTGACATTTTGACAATGGCCACATATTCAGGGATGTGCCCATTGTGAAAATTTTATCAAATTGGAGATTTGGTAAAAGGGGTAGGAAACCAATGGGAACCAAAGCACCCGTTGCTGGTGGGTGTGAGCGTGCACGGCCCGCGGCCTGGGGCGCTGCTCCACCTGGGGGTGCAGGAGCGGGGAGCCCCTGGTGTCACAGCGCTCAGGGGGCTGGGCGTTGCAGGGCTGATCCCCCACAGGGCAGGGCCCGGCTGCTCCCAGGCCTGTCACACCTGGTCCTGGCACTCCCCGTAGGCATTCTCTTCAGCAGCCACCACGGACCCACCCTGAGAAATGGGCCCCCAAGGGCCAGGCTTGGAAAAGCATTCCTGAGTCTTACATCCGAAGCCCCTGCCGCCTGCCTCGCCTGTGCCCGCCCTCTGTCCCCTGCCTCCTTTGGGGCGGGAAGGGGCACCGTAGGGTCTGGCAGCAGTTGGCCCTCACCCAGGGAGTGGCTCCTGAAGGGGTGCTGGGCCCAGCCCCACCCATGGGACCCATGACGGACCCCTTACTAGGGGCTCCTCCCCCTCCCCCACCCGGGCCCCCAGGCTGAAGTGCTGGGCGCTTTCCCTGGTGGCTGAGACTTGGAGCCTGGGGGAGCGAGGGGAGGACGGGAGGAGAGGAGGGTGCGGTGTTTGCAGGTCCTCACTCCTCTCCTCCCGTCTTCTTCTTCCTCCTCCCATTCCCACCTGTCTCAGTGTCTGGCTCAGGGAGGCACTCCTGTCCCGGGACCTGTGGTCCTGGAATGTGGGGGTTGGACCCCTCGCCGGGCGGCCCCTGAACCCATTTCCCAAGCCACCCTGGGTCTGGGGACCCTGAGGCTGTGCCCGTGTTCAGTCCAGGAGGGAGGCACTGGGGCGGGCCCCCCTCAGCCCCCCCCCCCCCCCGGCGGGCGCCCTGCCCCCTTTCTGCGGGGCGCAGCTGACCACCCCTCCCCCCGCAGGCAGACCAGCCGGCCGAGCGAGCCGTCGCAGCAGCCGGGGCAGTGGCATTGTGGAGGAGTGCTGCTTCCGCAGCTGCGACCTGGCCCTTTTGGAGACCTACTGTGCCACCCCCGCCAAGTCCGAGAGGGATGTGTCGACTCTCCCGACCGTGCTTCCGGTGAGACGCCCTCCCCACGGAATCGGGCCTCCTCCCCGAGGGGGCTCTTGGGGGGAGGACACCGCCAGCTCCCCGGGGGGGCAGGGCAGCCCGGGGAAGCCCCCGCCTGTCAGCTGGGGGTGCCAGAGTGCCAGCCCCTTGGGCGGGGGCCCGGCTGGCTGGGGGCTGCAGCGGGGGAAGCCGGCCCCCCTTGACTGGCCCTTCCCCTCCCAGGACAACTTCCCCAAGTACCCCGTGGGCAAGTACTTCAACTCCGGGGCCTGGATGCAGTCCTCCCAACGCCTGCGCCGGGGCCTGCCCGCCCTCCTGCGGGTCCGTCGCGGTCACATGCTGGCCAGGGAGTTGGAAGCCTTCAAGGAGGCCAAGCGTCAACGGCCCTTGAATGCCCTGGCCACGCACGACGCTGCTGCCCACGGGGCCGCCTCGGCCGAGGCGCCCAGCGATCGGAAGTGAGCCAACCTGAGTGATTCTGCGGAGCGGCCCCACCCTCCTCCTGCCTCCTGACTGGACTTACCACCAGGTCCCGGGACTTCCCATCAGGTCCCCCGAGCCTCTCTGCGCCGTCCTCCTCCCAGCGCGCCCCCCCGCCCCCTGCCCCAACCTCCCCATGTCAGGCTACACCCCTCGGCCCCCTCCATCGGCCTGAGGGCGTCACCCCGACAGCCTAAAACATGTGCAAACCCAATTGGCTTAAAAAATCCCCCCAAATTAACCCCTAAAATATCCCCCCAATAACCCCCCCAAATTATTCAACAGCCTCAAAATGTACAAACCCAATTGGCTTTGAATATCCCCCCCAAATTACCCCCTCAGGGATATTCAACAGCCTAAAAAAAGTACCAAACCAATTGGCTTTAAATACCCCTCCCCAAAATCCCCCCCAAATTATTCAACAGCCTCAAAATGTACAAAACAAATTGGCTTTAAATATCCCCCCAAATTATTCAACGGACTGAAAATGTACAAAACCAATTGGCTTCAAATATCCCCCCAAATTATTAAACCAAATTATTCAAGAAAATTATCTGCCCAAATTATTCAGTAAAACTATTCGGCCAAACTATTCAACCAAATTATTCAACCAAACCATCACTCCAAATTATACAATAAAATTTAAACCTCATACACACACACACACACACACACACACACACACACACATACACACACACACACACACACACACACACACACCAAGCCCCTAAAACTAGTGGGCTTTTTACAAACACCACAAACTCCAATTGGCCTAAAAAAAAACCCCAAAAAACAAAAAATCCCTAAAAAACTCAATTGGCTGCAAACACACTAAAAAACTAATTGGCTTAAAAACAATTGGCAAGTAAAAGAATTCGGCCCCCCCCCCCCTCCGTCTCCTCCCCTAGGACCTCGGGTCAAATTGGCCTTGGGCTCGAGTCCTTGACCGTCCAGGAGACAGGAGGGACCCAATTCCCAGGTGGGCATGTCCTTGCTCCAGCGCCTCCTGCCCCAGACCGGGCACTCTCAGCGCCAACTGGCCTCCCCCCAGCCCCAGCCTGGCCTCGGCTCGGCTCTCACCGTCACCCACCACCGCCACCTGAGACCAGAGGAGGGAAGGGACATGAAAACCTAAATTGGCAGCAATGACATTTAATTGGCACGAACCCCAAAGTCCATCCTGTAAAAACCCCCACACCCCCAAATCTTAACATCAATCCCCACATAAAACACACACACACACAAACACACACACACACACACACACACATACACACAAACACACACACAAACACATACACACAACACACACACAAACACACACACAAACACATACACACACACAAACACATACACACACACAAACACATACACACAAACACATACACACACACAAACACACACACAAACACATACACACACAAACACATACACACAAACACACACACACACAAACACACACACACACACAAACACCCACAAACACATACACAAACACACACACAAACACATACACACACACACAAACACATACACACACACACATACAAACACAAACACACACACAAACACACACAAACACCCACAAACACATACACAAACACACACACATACAAACACAAACACCCACACACACACAAACACCCACACACACACAAACACCCACAAAAACACACACAAACACCCACAAACACACACACACAAACACCCACAAACACATACACAAACACTCACAACACACACATACACACACACACACACACATACACATACAAACACACACACACAAATACCCACACACAAACACACAAACACCCACACTCACACACACACATCCTCATACACACACACACACACACACACACTCACACTCACAGGATGGACTTAAAAATGAGAAAGACTAAGCCCCCCACGTGCCAATCTGACTGAGTTCCATCCCAAATTCTCTTGCTGAGGTTTTCATGTCTCCAGCTGCCCTCCTAGCCCCTGCGACAGCCCCTGTGGGGAGGGGCATGTCCCAGGCCCGAGTTGGCGGTTCCATCTGTTTGAGATGAAGGAGGGGCCCCTTGCTTGTCACCACGGCCCCACAGTGTGAGCCTGACGCGCACCCCGCCATCGCGTGTGCCAGCGAGGACAGGATGAGGCCAGACTTGGAGGTGCTGTAGCCAAGCGAGGCATGCCCCCTCGCCCCGTAGCCTGACCCCCAGGTGTGCCCGAGAAAGACCTGGGCCTCGGCCCCGCACACCTGGGCCCACCTCTGCCGGCCTCCCGGGCAGCCTCTCAGAAATGAAGGTCCCGGGCGGCCGGCAGAGGTGATGGGGAGTGTGGGAAGTCTGGCGGTTGGAGGGGTGGGTGGGGGGCAGTGGGGGCTGGGTGGGGTTGCTCTGGGGTAGGAAGTGGCCCAGTGAGGTTTGGCCCAAAGTCGGAGGAAGTGTCGAGGAGACCTGCAGAATCAGACACCAATCAGAACCCCAAATTGACGCCAATTGATCTATCTCCCCCCTTTAATTCGATGCTCCTGGGGCATGTTTCCGTGTTTTTTTTTTGACCCTCCTTAGCTTTCTTGCGCTCACATCAGTATAACCTCCCGCCCGTAACAGGGGAGCAGTGACCGAAGTCACGCGCAAGCCGCCATCGTCACCACCGCCGTCCTGCTCCCCGCCATTTATCGCCCTGCGTTTTTTGTTTTTTTTAAATCTGTCTCTGTCGCTTGGGTTGAATTGAGAGTGGAGCCTCTGTGGGGTGCTAGCCACAACACCCACGGAGAAGTCCAAGGGGAATGGAGAGGGCCACTGCCCGGCCTGGCTCCCAGGGACGGTGGCTGGTCCCTGGGGGTCCTGAGGGGCGGAGGAGGGGGGGACGGCGTCTCCCCGGGTGTCAGGAAGGTGCTCGGAGGCCATCAGGAGGGGCCCCCGGCGGCAGCCGGGGGGGAAGGGGCCGCGGACGTGAGAAGAGGGGCTCCATCGGGCTGGAGCAGGTGGCCGCCTTCCGCGCACTTGGGGAGCTCTCCCCCCACCCCTCGGTGACACCGTGCCCGCCTCCTCAGCACCCTGCCTGGTCCCCGGGAGGCTCTAGCTCCGCGGGGCCTCCTTGGGGTGGGCGGGGCGAGGCCGGGCAGTCGGGGGGGCTCAGGAGGGAGCCCAGCAGAGCAAGAGAGCTGCGAGGTTGACTTGTCAACCGGGGTTGCTTGGGCCCCGAGGCCCACGGGTCGGGCACCGACCAGCCACCACTCCTCTCGGTGCCTAGGGCTGCCGCAGGGACCCGGGCGGCTGGGGGTTTACCTCCCCCCACTCCTGCCTCCAGCGCAGCCCCCCTGCGGGCGGCCCGACTAGCAGTCTAGAGGCCCGAGGCTTTGGGGCCCTGGCACAGGGCTGGCGTGACCCAGGGGGCGGTCATGCCAGCCTGCCCTTGGCACAGAGGGGCCTCGGCAGGTGCCCGGGGAACGGGCCATTCGGAACATTGGAGGAACCCAAACAGCCAAATTGTTCTAATTGGAAAACCCAGAGATTGGCCAGAGAGCCAAAAAGACTTCGAGGCACCCCAAATCGCCCGCCCGTTCGGCCGGACCCCATCCCACCCGTGTGACCCTCCTCGCCTCGCGGGGATGGGCGCCCGGGGCATCTGCCGACCCTCCTCTGTGCCCCCCGCTCAGCAGCTCTCCGAGGGTCTCAGCCATCGACCCCGGCTCCCCACTCGCCCCCCGTGCTCATGGTTGTGGCCGTCCATCTTGTCTCTTCCCCGAGTCCTCCCCCCAACAGTCTCCAGCGGGACCCCTCTCGGTCCCTCCCTGCGCCACCAGCTGGAGACCCCCACGTGCAGAACACCCATGTCACCGTGCCATCGCCGCCGCCCTGCCTTCGCGGCGGCCGTGTTCGCCTCAGCTCAGCCCCTTAACTCGCGGTCTCCGGCGAGGCCAGTGCCCGGGCTTCGTCTCTAACCTCATGCTCGCAATCCCAATAAAGTTTTCAAATGCATTTTCTTCTGAGTCCTCTGCTCTTTCCCGGGGTGCGGGGCCGCGGGAGGGAGGGGGCCCTGGGGAGGTGAACGCGCCCTGCCCCTCACAGCTCGGGGAGAGGACAGCGCTGGGGTCTGCACCCCATGGCGGGGCCCGGGAACCACATCCTCAAACAGAGGGTGCAGGGGCGGGGCCCGTGGGGGGCTCTCCGGGAGGCACCCTAGCCGCAGCTCCATTCTGCTGTGGGTGATGGCTCTGGGCAGGTTCTGAAGGTTCCAGAAACTGTAGCTGTTGCTGGAAATGGGGGCTCAGCTGCTCCACCTGGGACGCATGTCGCCTGCCCCGGCGGACACTTGCCCTCGCCCCCCAAGACAGACGAAGCCGATGCCACTGGGAGCCCCTCCCCTGCCCACTGTTCTGGCTTTTGGGGGGGTCCTGACTGTGGGGCTGGTTCCCCTGCTGCATGCACCCCTACAGCGAGGCTGGCATCCAGGGTGCTGGAGGCCTGACCTGCCCCTTCCCACCTCCTGCCTTAGCGGTGTTCCCACTGTGGGGAGAGGGGCAGCGGGGGCGGGGCCAAGGCAGTGGAGGCTGTACCGGGGTCCCGGCAGCTTTGGGGGGCTGTGCCCCTTTTCAAGCCAGTCCTCTGGGGTCTGGGGTGACATCCACAGGGGCCGCCACGTTGCTGCCTGGAGGCGGTGACGTCAGCCTTCAAGATGAGGGGCTGGAAGGGGGCAGAGAGAGTGGGGGGCTTGTGCAGCTCTTGGGGCAGGCAGGGGCCTGACAGGCGAGGTCTGGGGGCCGGGTGGGCGAAGGGCCCTGGACCCTGAAATATTGGACCCCCCAACCCCCCCCCGTGAGAGGATCTGAGGCACTTCAGGGGGGTGGGCCCAGCTCAGGACCCTCTGTCCAGCCCTTGGACCAGAGTGGAGCTTCTCTCCCACACGCCTCATGCAGGACCTGCCCTCGAAGGCCCACCGCGGCCCTGCCCCCTCCCAGGACCCCCCGATGCTGGGCTCGGGGTCTCCCTTCCTCTCAGCTCTGTGCCAACCACGCCCTCTCCAGCACCAGCACCTGGCCCGCTTCACCCAGGGCCTCCCCTCACCCAGGGCCTCCCCGGGCAGCCTCCGCACCTCGCTGCAGCCCCCACCACACCCTGCTTCCCCAGACCCCCCAATCTCCACTGGTCCCCAGCAGCCCTGGGCATCGCCGTCCCCTCGCCAGCCCTCCTGCATGAGCCTGGGTCCCCGTCAGGCCGCTGCTGCCCCACCCCCACTCTGCTTGGCCCAACCGTGTCCCCGTTATTCTTCCTCCTCCTCCCTGCCCAGCTCACCCCGAGCTCCAGCCAGCCACCCACATGCAGGACGGGCACCCCCACGTGCAGGGCGCCGCAGGCTCAGTGTCATGGAGGGAAATCTTGGGGTGCTCCTCTTGTTTGAATCCTCACCCAAGGATACATGTTCATTGATTTTAGAGAGAGACAAAGGGCGAGGGAGAGAGAGAGAAACATCCGTCAGTGGCCTCCCGCATGCACCCCTGCTGGGGATCGAACCCTCAACCTGGGCCTGTGCCCGGACTGGGAATCAAACCCAGGACCTTTTGGTGCACAGGACGAGGCTCCACCAACTGAGCCGCTCCGGCCAGGGCAGGGGTGCTCTTCTTAGGGGCGGGGCTTCAGGGAGAGAGTGGCGTTGGGGTGCAGGCTGGAGGGGGTGAGGGCCGTGAGCTCTCTTGGAGGGGGGATGACAGGTCCCGGGGACCCTGGGCAGAGGCTGCAGCCAGGGGAAGGGGGCCAGTGTGGGAGACGAGGCCAGAGTTGTAACGGGGGGCCCCGCAGGCCATGGTGGAGAGCTGAATGGAGGCTCCCCACAAAGACGTGCCCCGTCCTACCCCTGGGACCTGCGGCTGTGATTTTATTTGGGAAAAGGGTCTTTGCAGATGTGACCAGCTGAAGGACCTCAAGATGTCATTCTGGGCTTGGGGGGGGGGGGCGGTGGTGGTGGTTAAACCCAGGGACGGGTGTCCCGATAAGAAGGGAGTAGCGCCCGGCCGGCGAGGCTCAGGGGTTGAACGTCCACCTATGAACCAGAGGGCACGGTTCGATTCCGGGTTGAACGTCCACCTATGAACCAGAGGGCACGGTTCGATTCCGGTCGGGGCACAGGCCCGGGTCGCAGGCTGGATCCCCAGTGCGGGGTGTGCAGGAGGCAGCCGGTCCATGATTCTCTCTCATCATGGATGTTTCTAGCTCTCTCTCCCTCTCCCTTCTTCTCTGAAATCAATAAAAATATATTTAGAAAAAAGAAAAAGA